TGATCACAACCTGGGACACACATGGCCTCCAAAAGGTCTTACCTTGCAAACATGGTCCACCCTTTGCAGTGGACACTGTGACCATTCCTGATCTCCCAATGCCTCACCTCTAGTCCCAAATCAAGAAACCAATGACTAATTCCAGGAACAACATCTGTACTCTTTGCAGCATTTATTGAAACAGTTTTGCAAATGTTTTCTCTTCCTTATTCCATACACTTGGTGGACTGATTAATTCCATAGAACCAAACTACCACTGAATTTGCCAATCATGACAATCAATACTCTATATCAAATTTCTATTTTTGAGGGTGAAGTATCTTCTCCCCCTCTTTTTAAAAAACAGGAGGGCTTTTCATTTCCACCAATAGTATCCCTTTTCATGACCTTATCTCAAAAAATGCTAAGTAAAATGAAATGAAAATAAACTAAGTCCATAATACTGCTTTAACAAGATGACACAAATGACCATGAACAGAGAAAATAACAGGTACTGGGTAGTGAACTCACCATTCAACTTAGTTCTACAACATAAACTTTACCAGACAAAGAATTTAAAAGAAAGAAAAAAGATTGCTAAATACCAAAGGTGTAACAAGTTTACACGTGTTAAGGTGATATATGTCTTCTATACAAATGGCCTTAGTATGATGAGATAACTGATATTTTAAAAATTACAAATATAATTAAAGAACGCATTTTCTATCAATATGAATAGTTACTGCCTTAAGCTCCAGTGAAAACTTACTGATTTACAAATATAATCTGTTCTTTCTCGTGAAACGAGCCATCAACACCTTTCTCCTATGCCGTGCAATGTGTAGGCTCAGTGCCAAGAGATAAAGTGCAGCAACTGGTGACTGTGTCAGTTAGATGCCTCTCAGAATGCTTGTAAGCCTTAGAATGCTCTTATCCTGAAAATGATCTTCAAAAAGCAATTATGCGTCTTTATTTTTTTGCCTCTAATAAAAGCTTTTCTAGCATGAGTTCCAAAGTACTTTATTCCAGAAATAACACCTGCATACAATAAAATTAGCAAAGATAAAACAGCTTTTAAGGGTAACAATGTTATCTGAGTCAGCAGAATCAGAGGATTAAAAATATCTTGATAAAGAGCTAATGTTTCAGAAATTTTTAGAATAGCAGAGCTAAACTCCTAAAGAGGAATCAGAAATTTGAATAGTGTTGGAGGAAAGTTAAAAGAAAATGGAGCAATAACTTCACATTTCTGAGGGAAAATTATTTCCAACATGGAGATCTCCATTAATTAGCTTCTAGTGACTACTATAGTATACTGCCACAAAGTGGGTGTCTTCAAACAACAGGAGCTTACTCTCCTACAGTTTATAACTTGCCAAGGCCCTCACTTACTCTGGGGGCTCTGGAGAGGCCACTGTCTCTGGCAGCTGGCGGTGTCTCTGACTGTGGTCACATCACTCACCTACTACCTCCATGGGCAACTGCCCTGTTGTTTCTGCCTATGAATTCTTCCTCTGTGTCTTCTATAAGGATATTCACAAAGATTAGGGCCCTCGCAGATAATTCAGGATTTCCTCATCTCAAGATCCTTATCTACCTATGCACAAACCCTTTGTCCAAATAAGGTACAAGTACTGGTTCTGGAAATTAAAATATGAACTAATCATTTGGTAGTTGTGGGCTGAACACACCTTTCAACTTACTACATATGCACTGAGCAGCCAACACATCAATAAAACATGATACTAACCTTCTTTTCTAGAAAGCTGATATATGTGACCTCATCAGAATGAGGGCAAAGGTCAAAAGAAAAATAATCCTTAGTCTAAGAAATAGGCTACCACATAAAAAAGAAGCAAAAAGAATTCCCATAACCATGATCAAGCAAAGTAGCATAGAAGACAGTACACACAAATTACAACATAATAGATTAAATAATAAGTAATAATAGTAAGATAACCATGAAAAAAAAAAATTACTGAGAGGGCTTAATGGTCCCTGTGGGGAATATGGGAAGACTTTGGTGCACATAAAACTAAGTAAATACATTAAAAAAATAAATAAATAAAAGTAATCAGGGAAACAAAAACTGTAAGGAAATAATGTTGAAGAAAGAAAGCATTATTATTGTATATTACTTTATTCAGCTGTAAACAAGGTTTACCCTAAATACTGATTTAGAAAAAATACATTTTTTAGAAAAATGACTTAGAAAAAATACAAATACATATACATATACAATACTATACAAAGAACAAAGCATTGGGATATAGGGTTGAAGAGAAGTTTAGAATGATAATTTTTAATTTCCCACTAGAGAGAACATCTAGTATCTATAAGAAAGCATGAAAATATTATTTAAGTTGTAGAAGAAAATACTAGAAGGAAGCTCTATGAGTTTAAATTGGGTTATCTTGGGAGTAAGGGGGCAATAAAGGTGGCAATGATGGGATAGGTCAGTGGTTATTCTGACATCTGTTTACTTCTGAAACTGCTTCAATTGCTTTGAAATAAAATTTTAATGTTGAAAAAAGGAAAATGTTCTAAGAAAAGTGACTTATTTGGCCACTTGGCAGAGTTAAGAAACCTTTGTCACTATGTCTCAAAGTTCCTTAGACCTGGAAAGGCGTTTTTAAAAAGTTAATTTTCATGCTATAAGTATTCCTAAGGAGTTAAACGCACACACACACATACCAAAAGCACTCCCCAAGTATACGGACTATAATGGATCCAACATGTTATATTATTACAACTCTAGCCAGCTTTTCTTACTATAAAGCTATAAGTTCACTTTTATTTTTTTAATATAAGACTTTAGTGTCACAACTATGAACAGCCGGTATAGCTGGGTAACAGAGATAAAGACACTATAAAAAAGACACTAATATATTTCAGACTGGTATTCTGATAGATACATTAATAGTATCTATGTGGATGGACTCTAATTTTGACGACTCCACATAGGAAAACTACTGGATAAAAGGCCTGTGAGCCTGAATACCAATTTCTGCAGAGAAGGAACCAAGAATATTCGCCATGAAAGCTCTTTTGCCATTCTGTGTGAGTGGGAAAGAGGCATCTATTGGGGGAAGAGTGCCACAGTAGTGGTGCTAGAAGAAGGTAATTTAAGAGAAAGGGGAAAATCTTACTCTGTACTTAATTAATAATTTTCTTTGTCCATTTCTCAACCCATGACTCATTTCCAATAACAAATTTATTCCCTTCCTTCTTCTTCAACTGCCTGAAAAGTCGACTGTGCAAATAAACCTATACAGATAGATCATTCTGTGTACTAAATGGAGTTATCAATCCTTTCCCCGCCCAGAGTCACTAATACTTACTTACTTGAAGTTATTGTCATAAGAATTCTAAAACTTTAACTGTTCCAAGAACAACTATTACAGTACTTTTATATACTCAGATGCAAAAATCAAATCAAATAAAAAACAAGGCTGGTTCTTTTCCATAAATATGAAATCAAAATGAAAACATATTAAATAGAAATGTGCCAAGATGCTGGCATGGGGCAGGGAGGTTCTAGAAACAAACTACTTTTAGAGCAGAGTGACTCTGGTGTAAATCTCAAGCAATTTCATGTACCACATTAAAAGTGTGGCTATGGCCCTCCCTGGTGGCGCAGCGGGTTAAAGCACAGCACTGAGAATCTGAAGCCACTTCCGTATGAGTTCGATTCCCGCCTGCCGCCTGCCCGGGAGGAGACCACATGGCGAGCCAGACCTCTCCTGACCCGCCGGCTGCTCCCCTCAGCAGTGTACCTCGTCGATCTGCCTGTTCTGCTCCCCACTCTGTCTCTGGTGAAGCCTCTCACCGCCCCTGAGCCTCTGGCCTGTACCCCAGTTCTGTATGAATAAATAAATAAATCTTTAAAAAAAAAAAAGTGTGGCTATGATCAATATAGTAGAAGATTAAGGACAAAAGTGCAAATAATAAGAAAAAAAATGCAATGAAGCCACCGAAAAAGACTCTGCATGTATTTTCATAATTCATGGGGAAAAAAAATCATAATCCCAAAGCAAAAACAACTGCTTCTATAAAAAGTTATTTTGATACCCACAGGGGGGAAAAAAGGTCTTTCCCTTTTCACCTTTCCACTGGTTTTGTCACCTACTGCTAATTATCTCCAGTTCTTCCAGTGAAATGTCAATAGTGAGATGCAGTCTGCTCTTAACTAAAAAAGTATAAACCCCCAAACACAGTACTCATGTGTTTATTATTACTTCTGACAAATGCTTTAAAATAGCAGCACCGGTGAGAATCTTTAGTTTATAAACATACAATTTAGTTCCTTTGATAGTCAAAGAGAGAGATAAAGTTGACTAATAGCTTAGAAAACCTTTGGCAGAATTAGATAAAGTGGTAACTTAATCAAGGAACTTGAAAAATATTTAAATCCCAGGCTAGCATGTAGTTCTTGCCTGAGTTTCAATTGTTTTCCCAAATACAAGCAAAAAAACATGACTAAAACTTGTTTCCTGACTAACTACTTGGTGTTGGCAAGAGAAATCAAGCCCTTTTGAGATTAAAGTGCCTAGCAGAACCTTTTGCCTAGCACACTGAGTCAAAGGTAGGTCCGAGGGAGTCGGCCTCCCTGCTGGCCCAGCATCTACGGCTGTCTCGGAGCAGGCTGACTTCCCACCAAATCTGTCAGCGCACTCTCTGGTCTTATCCTAGATGGCATACTCTGCCACAACTACAACAAACTGAGGCTGAAGCCTTCACTTAGGATTCTAGGCTTCAAAATGCACACAAGGCAGGATTTCTGAGAGGGGACAGCTACACTGCTAACAGCTATCCCTGAATCTGTAGGTTCCTGAGTTCTCAGTGCAAGAATATGACAATTTTTAACTGGTAACTTCCATCCTGAATAAATCATGAAATTCAAACATCCCAACTTTTAAATTAGGCTGTGGGAATATAGAAATATTAATGAAATCTTTCAAAGATATTTTATAGTGTGCTTTTCTCCTTTAAAACTTAAGAACTAAAAGTCATGACCTTACCTGCTTGGCTTTTGGGTTTTTCCCAGGTGAACTTTTCTCACCATCCATCCCTCTCAGAACACTGATGAAATCTTTCTTGGAAACAGTTGATATCAACTTAGCGCGCTTTCTCACAGAGCCCCCGGCTGCCTTCACCTTCTCATCCACGTTCTTTTGATGCTTCTGGACAGCGTTGAATAACTGCACCACTCCTCTAGAGAACATAAAATGAGCAAAATGGTGTAGGTAAAGCGCAGTTAGGCCAGAACACAGGCTCTAAGTTCTGGAGTACGGTGCTGTCACTGCTTAAAGAAAACGGCCAGTGTTCACCAGGCAAAAGCATTGAGTGAATGGCTAAATACATCAGATGATACATATGAACAATGAATATAATTTCTGATTAGATATTAAATACATGTGAGCTGATGTGTCCTTTTTTTTTTTTTTTCCAGTTTTGCTGTTTCTTAATCAACTCTGCAATTAGACCTAGGAATTACTTGTAACACAATAGCATAGCCTCACGGTTAATTGTCTAGCCATCTGACTGTATTCCTGGATTGCAATTTTATCTCTAAATGGGAAAAATTACATTCAAGTAGTTTTAAAATCATCCAACTAGATTTCCTGTTCCTCTTAAGACTCAAAATCCTATTTAAAAAAATCTTTACTTCTAAAAATCCAGGCAATGTGCCCATTACAACAGCTATGAGTGACACAGTTAAGAGTGACACAGCCATGCTCAACATGTGGTGCAAGGTGGTGGGTCAGGGACCCCCGTTGAACACCACTAGTTTCTGGAGTCATATGACAAAGAGAATGCACAAACCACTGCAGGAACTGTTTTATACTGACTACACGCTGAAATAATAATTAGAATATGTTGGGTAAAATAAGTTCAAACTGATTTCACCTCTTGCTTTTTTAAATATGGCTATAAGAGTTTTTTTTTTTTTTTTATTTTGACTGGACAGCTCTGGTTTAGATCACTAGCATTCCTTCCAGCTCTGAAATTCTCCATTCTATTATTTTCGTGCAGTAATCATCTCTGGGAGAGTCTATGAGCTCCGAGATCCCTACACATTCTGTTGCATTTTTCAAGAATGCAAAACTCTGACTTCTCTTTACACAGACCTTTCTTTCATTTTAAATATATTTTTTATTCAACTACCATTATTTTACATCCATGTTCATTTTTTTTCACAATAAAGAATTTCTTTTTTCAGATGTAACACCCAGCCATTTGTCAGGGTTGTGTCTGCATTAAGCAGACTTGAAGACAAGGCAATGCCTCCCCTCAGGCAAAGAGCAGCTTGTTTCCTCTCCTGGACCACCTCCCTGCCTGCAAGCTATGCTGCCCCTTGGGGCAAGGGGATGCTTTTGCCATGAATAATAAAGTCCTCAGGCACTGACCCAGAGTCTTGTCTCCCCTCCCACCCCACATCCTCGATACTTGAATAGATTGACTTAGTAGCTTATAAGGAGGGTAAAATACCAAACCCTCCACAGCAGGGCTGGGTCTAATAATTTTAAACATTAAAATTTAAGGTGCTACTCTCAAATGCTACTGCTGTACTTCTTAAAGTTCTTTATGTGCATAAACTCACTTATCAGGAAGCTTTCCAGGACAGGTGCAATACTCTCCTGCTTTTACAGATCTATAAAATGGGACAAAGACAAAAGAAGTAGCATTCTCAAGGACACAGAGCCAACAAGGGTCAGTGCTGGGGTTTGAACCTAGCAGGCTGGCTGCATTGCTCACTCCCTCACTCTCACTTTCAACACCCAGCTAGATTAGAACATGTCCCCAGTAATGCTGGGAACTTAAAAGTAATTCCGCTCCATGCAACTGCCTTACTCTTAAGTAGCAACCAAATGTTATCTCCTCTGTGAAGCCTCCCCAAGTTCTCCTGGACAATCTTCAGTATGCCCCCCACCAATTAGAACAAACTTCTACTCCTCCTATAGTTCCTGTGAACCAGGCAGTAACCAGCCAGCAGGCACCAGATTAAATTTCTCTTTGGGCACAGAGGGCATCGGGTCAATCCTGGTGCCCTGACACATGCAGAGTAAAAGCCTAACGGGAAGCAGCTCACTGGGTGAGGTGCCGTTCCAAGGATGCCATCCCACATACCAAAGCAGTCATCTAGGCCAGTTATTCAGATAATCACCAGTAGAGAAATGCTGTGTGAGGACTGATTATACTGCTCTTATGATTATAAAAACAAGATGATCATGTTCAGATAAAAAAAAAAAAAGTTGGTTCAAAACAAATACATACTTAGCATAATATATTCTTGCCACATGCGACCTGCAAAATCTTTGGTCAAATTCAGTTATTAAACAGGCATCCTGGATATAAATCACTGGGCTCTGAGGAGACAAAGCTTAAGAATCAAACCTACTCAGAGAAGGATCACTATCAAAGCTTTATTAAACAGAATTTTTTTAAAGGGCAAAACACTCTTACCTTGTTGCAATTCTCTGAAGATTTCTCTCAGTTTCTTTGTCTCTGACAACATCTGGCTTCACTCTGCACATCATTTCCCATTCCCGCTTCTTATCAAGCTGTGTTATAAATATTGTTGTATGAGAGAATATTAGGCATTTTTGAAAGTGCAGCATACTTTGATATGATATTCCATGAAAGGACAAAGGTAATAAATCATTTGGGCTTAGTCTGTCATAGAGATTTTAACAAAACCCACACTTTTTGGGGTTCAGCTCAGGGAGCCTGTGGTTAGCACTCAGCATGTCATGTGAGAGGTATAACGTGAGCTGCTGTCAAGTTCTTGACAGCAGGGGTCTGGAGTGCTGCCAGCAAGCTCAGAGGCAGGACCAGGAAGGGATGAGAGTCACCGGCCCGACAGCATCACCAGCCAGACTGAGCAGGAAGACCCCTGAGCACCTAGGTCTGAACACACCGCTTTGCTCTTCTTCTCAGAAGCTTCTTAGGAACAGTCATTATCACTAAGGACTCAAATCAGCAGCATATGCAGACAGATCCTACTTGGACTACTTTTCATTTCACAAAACCTACTTTTCCTCTTTCAGCACAGTATCCTTGCCATTGATGGCACATCAGTCATAATCTACAGCAAACTGATTCTTTGCTATATACCCTGAAGTGGAAGGGAGTCAAGAGGTAAGAGAAAACGCTGCAGACAGCATAGTCTTATCAGGAAGTGCCAGCCAGCGGAAGTCTGGCCCCAGGACCTGTTTCACACACAGCTTCCCCAGAACCTCTACTGGGACCAAAAGCAAATGCACTAATACAATGAACTGATCACTGAAAAGCTGGTGAGCCCTGGTGGAAAAGTCTCCTTTATCTCTTCCTTTTCTCCATTCATCTTTGTCTCATTTTGTATTAATGAAAAAAAAAATTTTTTTTTAAAGATTTATCCATTTATTCATACAGAACTGGGGTATAGGCCAGAGATGCGGAAGGTGAGAGGCTTCACCAGAGACAGTGGTGAGCAGAACAGACAGATCCACGAAGTACACTGCTGAGGGGAGCAGCGGGCGGGTCAAGAGAGGTCTGCCGCACTATGTGGTCACCTCCGGGGCAGGTGGGAATCGAACTCATGTGGAAGTGGCTTTAGCTTCTCAGTGCAGTGCTTTAACCCAATGCGCCACCAGGGAGGGCCATGAAAATTTTTAATCACAGTAAAGCCAAAGTCCTGCCATCACTGTAAAAATTAGCCTGATTTCTTGCTAATGGAAAAGTCACCTTCCAAACAGATGCTTTATCTTAACTGGTCCTAAAATTCACCATCATATTATGCCAATATGACATAAAATATATAAATCTTACTTTGAAAGTTAAAACTTTTGATTCTTAATTATCATCTTGGAGTATTTTAACTGACATGAATAATAACACCCCAAACATTTTTTAATCTTAAGATGTATTTGTATACTTACAAGTTGAAATAAGTGCCTGGTATTCTGTAAACCGATAATACTTAATATCAAGCCAACACTGGCTTCCACTGGGCTATGCAGACAGCCTTGCAGCTGCTTGGTCACATAATTAATTTCCCACCTTCCAGGCCAGTATCCTCTCCAGGGCCTCTAGCCCCAACCTAGAACTCAGGAAACTCTCTTTTTCGCTTCATAATGTTGTTCTTGCTCCACCACAAGTGTACAATGGCACTTGGGATTACAGATTCTCAGAGTTCTAGAGCCTCTAACAGCTTTTGCCAGTAACTCAAGATTCAAAATTTATCCTAAATAATGTACAATGAGGATACTGAATGAATTATACAATGCACTGTGTTTCTAAAAACAATACCTGAAAAGCTTTGTTTTTATATAAGACTCTCACACAGAGCAACTAGAATTAAGAACAAAGAAATGTACATTCATTGTGAAATGAGATCAGGGAGCAAGGATCTTAAAAGGAGCTGCATACAGATTCAAATATAGATAACTATTTTTCTTTCATTAAAAAATGATACTGGCCCTCCCTGGTGGTGCAGCGGGTTAAAACACAGCACTGAAGGCCCTCCCTGGTGGCGCGGCGGGTTAAAGCACAGCACTGAGAATCTAAAGACGCTTCCGCATGAGTTCGATTCCCGCCTGCCCCGGAGGTGACCACATGGCGTGGCAGACCTCTCCTGACCCGCCCGCTGCTCCCCTCAGCAGTGTACTTCGTTGATCTGCCTGTTCTGTTCCCCACTCTGTCTCTGGTGAAGCCTCTCACCGCCCCTGAGCCTCTGGCCTGTGCCCCCAGTTCTGTATGCACAAATAAATAAATCTTTAAAAAAAAAAAAAAACAGCACTAAAAAGCTAAAGCCACTTCTGTATGAGTTCGATTCCCGCCTGCCCCGGAGGTGACCACATGGCGTGGCAGACCTCTCCTGACCCGCCCGCTGCTCCCCTCAGCAGTGTACTTCATCTGCCTGTTCTGCTCCCCACTCTGTCTCTGGTGAAGCCTCTCGCCACCCCTGAGCCTCTGGCCTGTACCCCAGTTCTGTATGTACAAATAAATAAATCTTAAAAAAAAAAAAGATACCTATTTCAATATTTTTGGCACAGAAATATTCCATAAATGTTGAGGGATATAAAAACATTACTGGTTATCTTGAAAATATGCAAGAGCAAACAAGCCTTTGTCCTTTAATAGATTATATTACTCCAGCTTCTACCATCAGTGATTTAACAAAAGGTACAGTGATTCAAGCTGTCTGATAGTGCAAAATTTTCAGAACTCTAGCCAACCCCTGACAATATCTTCACAGACTTAAATTATAAACAGGCTTTTTAGCAAGTTGTAATGAACATGAAAGTCTGTTAGTTCAGATCTAATGAAGTCACAAAAAGGACAGCTAAAGTCTGAGGAGTCGCGGCCAGCTGTATTATCATTTGATTTTAAAAGTTCACATTTGGATTGCTTTACTTTGATGGTTTAAAAGTGACCATGCTCGTGGGGAATGGGATCAAAAACGAAGGGAGGGTCGGGGGGAAGTGCACTGGACTATGGTGACGGCACATGGGTGATTTGGTGATGGGAAGCCCATGGGGATTACAGCTAAGGTGGAAAAAGGCACAAAATGATGTAAAAATAAACTATTATGTTAAAATAAATAAAGTGACCATGCTCAATGGAGTACTTCAGCATCCGTTTCTGAGCTTGACCTTGGCTAACACACTCGTATAAAAAGTTAAAAACTAAATATTCACTGGCTAAACACTGGGAGGAAGCACAGATAAAAACTAGATGATCCGGTCTGCAATCAGTAGGACACACCTGTGCTCTCTTCTCTAGTCTCTCCTGCTTTAACTTCTCTTTTTCCTTTTCCAGCTCTTTGTTTTTGACCAGAATGGCGGGTTTACTTTTAGGAGTCTTTTTGTTAAGAATTTTAGCCATGGCATCTGCCCAGCCAGCATTAGCTCCAGCACTGGATTTTGCAGCATTTTCACTGTCATCATCACAAGGTTCAACTTCATCCTCATTGTCAGCTTCTATTGCTTCATCATCAGAAGAAAAGTGATCCTTTTCCGATCCATAGTTTCCTACAGAACCTAAGAGCAGGATGAAATGAATCCTTAATACCAAAGGCAGAGTCTTCCAAGATCATCACAAGACACCTGGGAGCCTTCACAAAGCTAACCTCTCTGTCTTCATTTTCCCAAGAAAGAGCTTTTCCAATTTGCACAGCTACAGCATGGAGAACACAACACCATCTCCCCCCATCCTACTGCCATCGGCCCCCAAAGGAGGCCCAGTCATATTGACAAGAGCCTGCAGCTTCAGCACCAGGAACCGGTTTCAGAAACAAATCTAACAGCCTCCACCCCATTTCCTATTGCCAAGGTGGTAGTGAGTTCTAACTTGGGACTGGTTCAGGTATATGGACCTTAACTATGTCTTTTTACTACCTGGAGAGACTACTGATTATTTTAAAAACAAGTAACAATAAAAAAAAAAAAAACTTTACCAAGAAAATCACAGTATTTTCATGGTACAGAGAAAATTCCATTACATTCCAGAGGGTCTAGATATTTAAAAATTTCCAGAATCTGTATGCAGATGAGCCAAAAACCCAGCCCTGTTTTAGACTATTTGACAAGATAAAGCCAGGTGCTTTAACAATTTTTAAAAGTAATCTAATGAATGTGTATTACTCTAATGAAGCAAAAATGATCTAATGAAGGAATGGACAGATGACAAGTACACTAATGAAGCAATCCTAAAGAAAATACTGAAGATGTAGCTGCACCTCCAGCTGACTGGATGAAAATATCAAGTTCTGAGGATACAAATTTGCCCATGGACTACTAAATTTCACTATGTAGTACACCCCCAAAGAAAGCACATACAGGTGACAGCATCTAGTTCTTTCTCTTATAAGATTCAAATGGCTGGCCCTCCCTGGTGGCACAGCGGGTTAAAGCACTGCACTAAGAAACTAAAACCACTTGCAAATGAGTTCGATCCCCGCCTGCCCCAAGGCAACCACTTGGCGAGACAGACCTCTCCTGACCCACCGCCCGCTACTCCGTTGATCTGCCTGTTCTGCTTCCCACTCTGTCTCTGGTGAATCCTCTCACCCTCCACATCTCTGGCCTGTACCCCAGTTCTGTACGAATAAATAAATAAATCTTTAAAAAAAAATCTGTAATTTCTAAAGATTCAAATGGCTTTTGCCAGAGAAACTATGAGCACTTTAATTTCTGCAGCCTTTCCCAAATATGGAACTTAACAGTCCTTTAACAGTGAGAGCACAAGCAGATAGTGCAGTCTACACACACCTACATGGTCCAGAGCCCTTTCAAGAGCTTGTTCTATTCTTTAGAAGCCTACAAACGTAACAGGGAATATTCCATTGGACAAAACCATCCAATATTAAGTAAAATTTTAAATATTAACTTTCACTAAAATAAATAGATACAATTTAAAGTAATACTGACAGAACAAGAACAAAGACCTAGGTATATGTGTGTGTTGGTGAGTGGATGGATGGATAGATAGATATACAGATTTATCAGCTTATGACTGTTCACAGTAGGAGGAAACTACACTTTCATGAATGTATGCAGCCAGCTCTTAGCTACTGAGTGACCTTCTTCGAACTCTTAACTTTTGCCATGAATAGCGGCATTGCTGAAAACACCTAACTTTTATTAGTCACTGTAACTCTTGGAATTTTATTATTATTTTTTTATAATATTGTACTTTTTAAGTGCTGAGAAGTCATAAAATGAAAAGGATGGAAACTAAGTACATTTCAAACAAAAATTTGTAAATAGCAACACAGAAGGCATAACATTTTACACATACACAAAATGAACCAATCACAAGTAAAAACAAGTAGCTTCAAAAAATTAACAGAATACTATTACATTTAAGAGTTAAACACAGAAAGCAAAATAATATTGTTTTAAAAACAAGATCTTTCAGTATGTTGATGGTATCAAAAATATTCAAGAAAATGTTAAGAGCAAGAAGATACTAATAATCCTAGTACCCTAATGTGCTACATATTTAATAAAATTTTCTTTGAAAAATAGTAATTAATTTCCCACAAATTCACATGAAGGCTTCTTTATATCTTTGGTGATCGGCTGATTTTTTTTGAATGCTAGGTAAGTTCAAGAAATTTGAGGAGCTGTGATTCTAGGCTGTAACAGGCTAATCAAGTGATAGAGGTGTATGTATTATGGCCTGTGAAGTGAAAAAAGTATCTAAATTTTACTAAACAGAAGCTAGCAGCAGTATCATGAATGAAAATCTGTGTTTAATTTACAGTTGACTCCAGCAATGCAATCACCCCCAGAAGCATCTCAAAGAACCAGGGTTCCCTGGAAAGTATGTCTAAAAACAATTGCAAGAATATAGCTGAAAAATGAACACATTATTCCATGTGTTGTATTCCTTGTCAACAGCTGCACAGGCACTAATAACAAGAAACAATTCTCCAAAATGTACTTCTTCTAGTGAGTATTTACCTAAGTGTAAAGAGGCATAATGGCTTCAAAATTTGTGTCAGAGTAATACCTGGGTGATTAAAAGCAGAAATTTGCCTGCTCTGGGTAAAACGTCAAAATGACAACACTGACATCTAGTGTTTTGTCCTGATGAATTCACACACAAGTGGCAGAAAATCTCCTATTTTTCAGCTACACTAGAAAGAAAGTCAAAGGATTTACTTTCTAACAGCTCAAGTTACCTAATCCTCTGGGTCTCAGCTTCTTTTGAATAAAACTGGACACAAGCAGCACCTACCCTAAGTGGGTTGTTACGATGACTAAATGAGGTAGCGTGTGAAAAGCAAAGTGCTGGTAACCAGAGGACAGATGACAATATTGTGAAACCAAAATATGAAGTACAAGGGGATCCCATAAGGACAGCAAGACCCAGAGAGGGGAGACTGCATGTTGCTCCTACTGTAGCTCTGCGTGTGGATACAGCTTGTGCTGCACTGCCAGGGATTTGTCAAGGGCAGGCTCTCTCCATGGTGGTCAAGGTCCTGCACGCCTTCTAACGTCTCCAGAGTAATGACAGCACTAACTGGCTGACACGCATTTAGAGCTGGATATGATTTAAAACACTTTTTATGTATTATCATTTAAACCTCTATGATTTGCTTTTATTATTGTTTACTCAGGGAATGATACTGAAGTTCAGAAGAGTAAAGAATCTGCCACAGTCACAATGGAAAGGGCAGAGGGTGACAGGCTATTGCACCTGAATCCCAGTCAACTCACAATGGATGCTCAACTAATGCAGAAATACTCACTGCACTGCCCAACACAGCCGTAAGTAACAAAGGACCTGCTCAAGCCTGCGTTACCCACTGCAGCCCACTGCTCGCCCCATTCTAAGTTTGCCTAAGTGGGTGACTAGGAGCCTGTGCAACAACTGTGTCCCATTCTAGCTACAGATCACCTGTTCTTCTCATGCCACCGTGACCTCTCCTGCCAATTATTCCTAAATTTTGAATATTCAAAAGTGATACCTTAAAATTTTTTGAAAAGCACTTGCCTCAGAAGAAAAAAAATGAAGTCGTCCTGGGTTTCCAACAGTAATGGAGTGCTAAATAAAATAAGTGCTATCTTGGGACAAAGTGTCAGATGTGATTACACGTGCGACCCCACAAGCCAGAGCAGGCCTTGCCTGGAAGCCGTCTGTTTCCTGAGTCTGACCTGTAAAGTGCTAAACCATTCCAGTCAGACTGTGATATACTTCATTTCCTAGGCATGTTCCTTTGCTATTTTAAGCAGCTCAAATGATGAAGGAGGCTACAAGCTACAAGTTTGATGAAAAGCACATTTATCTGCTATGTTACTATATCTTAAGTAGAGCTTTGTAGTTTATCAAAAACAAAAGGATGACTCCTAGCACTTTTCTAAACTGAATTGTTATCAAGTCCTGTGTTAGAAAGACATGGTCATTTTTCAAACCTCTGACCAGAACCATTTAGAAAACATAGAATTACCTTTCCTCCTACTGGCTCAGTCACACAGGCACTCTGTGAGACTATGGTCAAGCACAGCATGACAATGGTTATGACCAAGGCTTTCCCTCCTGGGCTGCCTGGACTATAGGAGTTTATGATCAAGCTACTATGTCTAAACTTCGAATACATCAATTAGTACATTTGAGCAGTCTGAGGATAACTCAGAGGGAGAGATGACCACCCCTTCACTTAATATCAACTACTGTTGGAATTTCTTCACCTGAGCTGACTAACTGACAGGGCAGGCGCTATGTGTCTGTGCCTTCTCTTAACACTACATACTGCAGCCAACCCTCCAACCAGGTATCAATTCAGTAAATCTGAGCAGTTCAAGGTCAAATCAGGTAGGGGTGTCATCCTTCCCTTTATAGTGCCTGACATTTACCTATTAGCCACTAAAATGGGAACCGCAGCATTTAATTGTTGCATCTCTGCTTCACAGTCAGCTACAATTTTACCAACTGTGATCACACTGCAAAGCCCACTGAGAAGCATCACAACTTAACAAAAATCCAGTCTGAATTACTTTGCTGTTATTTAAGTTTACATTATATGCAACTTCTGTTAAGTTTTTACCTTCACTATCTGGTACATGAGAAAAGTGTGAAACCACATAAAGAGAAGTCCTGGCTGTAGTGTTAGGAATAACTTGAGTATCACACCAAGTGGCAGATGCTATGCCAAATTCCCAGATACAGATGATACCAAAGTTGAATTCCACTTCATAGAACTAGATAGCTTCTGCAAAGTCTGAAAGACAATACCTAATATCTATAAATTTTGATAGGTTTTCATAGAATTATGAGTTCTATAATATTTAAATAGCCTCTTGCCAAAAGAAGCTGCTCTGAAATGCTGGGGCAAAGAACGGCTCTATCAATTTTTACAATTCAGTTACAAAGCAAAGTCAAGTATCTGATTTATTTTCCTGGTACACTTTAATAAATCTATTAATTTGCAGTGATTCCTTCTGTTTCTGAAGCCCAATGCAATAGCCAACCTTCATCAGTCTCCATTATCTGAAAATATCTGATAAGAGTTCTGTCAAGGCCACACACATACAAACCTCTCAACTAGATACCCTTATTCCATGGGTGATCTCTGCAGAAATATCTGATTTCACAAAAGGAAAGTTGAGTTTTTATATTAAATAGAAGTGCTGAGTTTCTCCAAAGGAGCAACATTATTGAATTCTTTAGAGAAATAGCCCTGTTACTTAACTCTGTCAGAGATAAATTGAAATCCCGAAAGAACACGTGGATAGAGACAACTAAATTGAATCCTAAACAATACAGAAAAGTTGATTATGAGAAAGTCAAAAAAAGCAGCACCTGCTAGAACAGTAGAAAGCTGAGCTAAGAGGAGCAGGGGCAAACTGTGCCCAAGAAGCAAGGCCAGAGCTCTAACAGTGGAAAGGCCAGCACAGCAGGATCAAGTGGGCTAGGGAGGCAAACTTGCCACATCAAGGCAACACTGTTTTTCCTGGGCCCCTTATTAGGGCAATGAAACTGAGAATTCAGGTTTGTAAATGTTAAGGTCCAGTGTGTGTGGGAAAACTAGGCATAAAGAATTATAGGTAAAATCATCATTATTCATGCTGAATTTTACCATAAGTACGTGATATCACGTGATGTCAGAATAAGAGACATCACCTTGCCTTTATGGCTTTAATAGTTTCCACTGAGAGGCATGCATGCACATGCAAACTTATCTCCAACCCTCTTCTCATCTGTAAAACAGAAATAACTTTTATGTCACAGAGTTGCCAGAGGAAGCTAACATCTTATCTGGGGAGCATACCAGCCTTTATGTATCATTGTTAGCAAAAAAATACAAGGCTCAGATGAAATAGAAAAGGGACTAGGAGTTTTTTAGACTAGAAATGATGTTCTGACCATCAGAGTTGATACTTGAGAGTTCATAAGATGGTGTCAAACATCAGTGCATTACAGAGAGGAAATTATTTGATCTTCCCAGAAAACCCGAGGCAGATGTGTCGCTGCATTTCACAGATGAAGAAACTGCGGCAAGTAGCAGTATACAATCAGTCTGAAGTCACTACAAAGACAGGCAAGTCTCTTAATGGTTGGAGTAGAAGTGGAGAGTTGTTTCTAGAGATAATTTGCGGACTTTAGGAGAGAAAAATAAAGCAGGCAGGAAGGACAGAAGAAGGAAAGGAGGCTGGCTACACTGATAAACACTGGAGGTGCTGTGGAAATCAGCTCATAAAAGGATTCCTGAGTGATGAAACTCTTTTCTTCCTTGAAATTCTACAGCTCTGCCTTCCACCTTTCTGAACAGCTTTTAAAATATTTTATGTCCAGGTTTCTCAACCACATTGGGGTGATGGTTGGGATCCAGGCTCCAGACCCAAATTCAAAAGTGACTGCGTCATTTATCCACTTGCTGATCAGCCTACAGACTGGTGAGCTAGTCATAACCTCTCCGTGCCTCAGTTTCTTATCAGCAAAATGAGGTTAATGGTATCTATTTCACAGGGTTGTTGTCAAAACTAACTTAAGTGATACACATACAAGGAACATAGTATCAGTACAAAGTAACCCCCCCCCATACAGCTATCATTGTAACTATTCTCCGATTATTCTAACAGTAGAGTATGCCTGAACTTTGCTATGAGTTTATGAGGAAGCTAGTTGACTGCTTAGAAAGTTGAATTTTTCCTTTCTGAAAAAAATATTTCATGTGGGCTCTTCTGTCTTCACTTGTGCTGGCCCAAACAGAATTGTACAACTGTTTACTAATTGCTGGCAGTGTTGCTCTCTAGCTTCAAAGTTCTCAGTACCCTGCTTCCGGATAGAGACCCATTCTCCTTTGTATGAAAATGAGGCCTTAACAATAACTTAGCTCTGCATAGCCAGGACCATAGTAGACAATTCATTTTGTCCTAAATGGACCATGCATTTTTAGAACCTGCAGGCTATTACATATTCTTTCCCCTATGTCTGGGAAATTATTCTTCTCTACAGCCAAGCTTAGAAAACCATTCTTCCTTTTATGATCTAGAGAAAATGCTGCCTTATTCATTTAGTCAATAATAATAAAAATAAAACCATTGACTATCAAGAACATAAAGACAAATGGGCCTTCCCTGGTGGCGCAACGGGTTAGGACACAGCACTGCAAGCCAGCAGGATCCACTACCATGGGAGTTCGATCCCCGGCCGAGGAGGTGATTCACATGGCTCGGCAGAACTCTTTGTTTTGCCTGCTGCTCCTCTCAGCAGTGCATTTCATCAATCTGCCTATTCTGATCTCCACTCAGTCTCTGGTGACTCCTCTCACCACCCCTGCACCTCTGGCTTGTGCCCCAGTTCTGTGTGCATAAATAATAAATAAATCTTCAATAAATAAATAAATATACCACATCTTAAAAAAAAGTAAAGACAAATAAGACACAGTCCCATCATTTGGTCAAAGTGTATCAATAAGTAGGGGGTTCTACAGATTGGATATATGGATTTCTGTCTCCAGTCCTACCATTTTTAACTACATAATGATTTTGCTAATCACCTTTATAGCTATCATCTAATCAGGCTCAATGCACTGCATTCCAGTCCTGTGTTTAATCTTTCCCTTCCCTAGACAGTAATTCTTGAGAATGTATTTCTTCAACCTTTGTGTCCTTGACAGTTAGAGGGTGACTAGAATATCAAGGAACACAATTAATTGCTCACTAAACCTGAACTGGATAATTCAGTTTGCATACTAACCGAAAGCACTCTTAAACCATAAGGTTATTGATCTGCAATAGCAAGAAGAGCTTAGAATCAAATCAGTACTTATAAGAATGTACTGAAAAGCCAAAACATCTCACTTGGAATTTCCCAAATAAAGAAATCTAATTCCTATCTACATCTGTACCTGTATGATATTGTACTCCAGCTATAGTAGTGCCTCTTTTTCTGAAAACCCCACCTAAATTTATCAATTGAGATAAAAAGATAGTAACAGAACCAGAAGTTCTAGCTCCTACTCAACAAACAGCATGTTTTCTTTTACTTCTCGGGAGTGGATGAGGACTCTCCTTACTAGCAACTGCTGTAGCACATAGTTTCTTCATTTAGGTCCTGGAAGTCCAGTTTCATTCATTTATTCACTTAAATATCTGTGAAGGTTTCACTATGCAACCGTTTTAAGCACTAGTCTCTTCTCTTGCAGCGCTTATCCTCCAGTTGGAAGAGGCACAGCAAACATGTCAGATAGTTTGGGAAAAATAAAGCAGGTTTGAGAAAAATTAACCAAGTTTCTATGTCAAAAAGGGAAGGAAGGGCGGGAAAAAGAGTAGTGTCATATATGGGGTTAGGGTGGTCAGAGACACCTTAACAGCACTGACAGCTTCGCTGACAGATCAGAGATAGAAGGGAGCCAGTAAAGAGAGTGCCATGCACTGTCTGGTTAGTATTCTAGACAATACATCAGCAAATATAAAAATCCTGGTGTAGAAGCTTGTTTAATGTCTTCTACCACAAGGACACCAGTATGACAAGTTTACAGTTAATCAGCAGGGCTGAGCAGAGAGTGCCAGATGATGAGACAACCTGAGCTCTGTCATTCAGGGTAAAGATCCTGGATATTGTGTGACAGGACGCCACTAGATTATTTTAAGAATTTTAGGGATGTGATCTGAGGTGCATTAAGAAAGAATAGTCCTCGCAAACTACTGTGGTTATCAGCGATTACAAAGGAACAATAATTGAGTTAGAAAGTCAGGGGTTGTCTGCAATTCCTTGTAACCCAAGAAACTGATACAAAGAATGAGGTGCAGCAAGCATCTATCAGGGCTGAAGGCCTTGAAAGATAGCTTTCGTTCTTTGCAGTATCAAGTGTTTCTGGGAGAAAGATTTATCAACTGCTCCTTTTATTTATTCTGCTTTAATCAACTACTCTTTTTTCAATCATTACTATCTGGTCCCTATATGTCAACAAATGCACACGCTTACTGCACAAGAAAAGTCAATTTCCTTTGCCCTTTTTTGGTCTATATCTCTTCACTCCCTATGAAACCTATCCCGTTCTTGTCATTTAAAATATTTCCCTTCTAGTCATCCTTTGCTACCTTTTTGACGCCGTAAACTGTGGCAGTTTCGACCGCTTTCATTCAGAAGTGACCCAGAAATACCCAAAGAATGGGGACGCTCCCAACAGCTGACAGCGCCCCTTTCCTAACACCAATCCCCCAAGCCTTCTCACTATAGGCCAAAGTTTCCCCTCTGATGCCACACCGAGTCACAACTGGGAAACCACTCTTATTCCACTGCTTCCCTCAAACTCAGCCTGGCCTTTGCTCTGGGCTTCCGAAGCTCCGTGCTGGCCCATTACCTCCAGTGGCGGCAGCGTCTCTGTCCTTATCTTCCACCTCCGATGTTACAACCCTGGCTACTACTTTCATCTTCTTTTTCTTCAGGGAATTCTTCTGCTTCTTCCCCGCGCTCGCACGTGTGTCCTGAATGGCCGCAGCCATCTTCCCTCACCGGAAGCGCCCAGAGAGACGCGTTCCGTGGTCACGACAGGAACGTCGGCCTTTAGTTCCGGGGACACAGGTTCCGGGAGGGACTCAGAAGGCTGGACTTCCGGGACTGGCGTCTCTTGCGTTAGTGGCCGCCCTGTAGCCGCGGGTAGGGTCCAGTGAGGCTCTTCTCCGGTGCCTTTCCACCCTGTCCCCCGCTGGCCCGCTGTTTCTTGCGTGTCCACGGTACTCGCCGGCCGCTGGGAGCGAGGAGAGCCTGCGGGATCTCTCGTTAGGACCCGATAGCAGCAACCCCTTTGCCCGATCGTCCCCCTAAAAGTCCTCAGCCCAACACGCGAGTTCTTTAAATCTGTCAGTTTCCTTTGGATTAACCCTAGTAGAAGCTTCTCATTGCAAACCTAACAAGCGCTTTCTTTCCCTGGGGCCCGCCTCACCCTACGTCTTCTGACCCAGCCCTGCCGGAGGGCGAGATGGCTGACAGCTCAGGTTTCGCGCCCCAGGGTACTGCGCTCCAGCCTCCCAACCTCCCTGTCTCCGGAGCCAAGTTCTCCCCAACGTTAGATTCTGCCTCCTGCAGATACAGCCCTGGGTTCCCGCCGGGCGGCTATCACAGTCTGCCCCCACTTGCCGGTGAAATTGTTGCCTCCTTGAAAGCAGGGGCCCTTTCTTCGCTAGTTTACTCTCAAAGCTGGCACTAGCACCTGGCCAGTAGTAGAAACCCAAAAGTATTTTGGAAGAGATGAGTGTATACATGCAACTTTGAATGAGGTTAATGAGTCACGCCCATGTGTTCTAGAGAGGTTGCATATTTTTTTTTTTTTAAAGATTTATTTATTCATCCAGAACTGGGGTACAGGCCAGAGATGCGGAGGGTGAAAGGCTTCACCAGAGACAGAGTTGGGAGCAGAACAGGCAGATCAACGAAGTACACTGCTGAGGGGAGCAGTGGGCGGTTAAGGAGAGGTCTGCCTCGCCATGTGGAGCTCCTCCGGGGCAGGGGGGGATCGAACTCATGCAGAAGTGGCTTTAGCTTCTTAGTGCTGTGCTTTATCCCGCTGTGCCACCAGGGAGGGCCCGAGAGGATGCATATTCTAAAGTTTTTACCAAAGAGAAGTGTTGTCCGTGCAGAAAAATAAACATCTCAGTTCGATACATACAGTTGATGTTTATATTGGTTAACATAACAAATAAATATACTTCCCAAACACTCAACAGGCATCTGTTTACAGGAAAAGTTATATTCTAAGTGCAGTTGGGGAAAGAAACTTCCAGCATAAAGGAAAAAACAGGGTACCCCTTAGAATATTGTTTGTAACTGAACGCTTTCACCTTCCTTCTCAGAATAAGCCTAAATCTGTTTTCTGCAGAACTTCACACTTAGTTTTGTAACTACCTAGTGCTCCAGAGTTCTCCAAGCACAGGTAGGAACAGAAGTGAAATTAAGGAGAAAAATGATTACAGCGGAAAGGAAGATGTCTTGAATATAGAGGCCATTTGTAAACATCCTTTGATGATTCAGAATAATGTTTTGAGCATTTTGCATTTTAATGATTGTTTATTTACATATAGGAATTTACTACTTAAATTTAAAAAATTGCTGTGAAGGAGGAAAAATACAATCAGATTTTTCTTTTTTAAAATAAGACCTAAGAGGCCCCAGGTTTCCCTTCAGAAATCTGATTTTCAAAAGGGGATTTGTTATTGAGTGGGAGAGTTCTGTACTAAGTTAATCTTCACAGTCTGCCAGTGATTTAGGTGCTATTGTTCCCATTACATAGATGAAGAAATGAAGACACAGAAAAGCTTCAATCATTGTTCAAAGCCACACAGGACCCTTTGTGGTGGAATCACATTCAATCCTAAGTAGTGAGCTGCCAGTGTCAGTTAGTCACTGCACATTGCCTTCTGAGACTGTTGGATTTTAACATTTAGCAAATATGACCTGAGAATAGATCATGGGTATTTCTGGCAGGCATTGCAATTCATAGATTAGAAAGAAATCTCTACTTACAGTGAGCTAAAAGAATTGCTGCATGCAAATAGAATGTTCATAGTATGAAGAAACTTTATCATCCTTTTCACTTCTTACTGGACAACCTCTTGTTATCCCTATCCTCTGTTATAGTTAACAAGTCTTTATATTACATTTTCTTTTTCAAATTATTAAGCAGTTTCCATCTCCTGTTTGACCCTAAGACCCTTCACAAAAATTAACTCTGAATGAATCAAAGATTGAAATGTGAAAAGAAAAACTATGAAATTCCTAGTAGATAACACAGAAAATCCAGATGACCTTGGATGTGGTGATGATGCCTTTTGAGATACAACACCAAAGGCAGAATTTATGAAAGAAATAATTGATGAGTTTCATTAAATTAAAAACTTCTGCTCTGCAAAAGACAATGTCAAACGAATTAGAAGGCAAATCATGGGCTGGGAAAAAATATTTGCTAAGGACACATCAGGTAAAGGACTCATTCCAATATACAAAGAACTCAAAAACTCAGCAATAAGAAAACAAAACAATGATTTAGAAATAAGTCAAAGACCTTAACAGACACCTCACCAAAGAAGATGCAGATGGTAAGTAAGCATATGAAAAGATTTAAATTTCATTTGTCCTCAAGGAAATACAAATTAAAGCAATAACTGTTACCACTAGATCTCTGATGGAATGGCCAAGACCCAGAATACTGACAACACCAAATGCTGAAAAGGGTTTGGAGAAACAGGAACTCTTTGCTGGTGGGGTGCAAAATGGTATAGTCACTTTGGAAGAGAGTCTGGCAGTTTTTAAAATAAAATTAAACATGTTCTTGCAATGTGCTCCAGCAGTCACATTTGTTGGTATTTACCCAAAGGAATCGAAATATTATGTCCATAAAAAATATGCTCATGCAGATGTTTATAATAGTTTTATTTATCTTTGTCAAAACACGGAAGCTGCCAAGATGTCCTTCAGTAGTTCAGTGAATAAGTGACCTGTGGTACATCCAGACACTGGGATATTCTCAGACTTTGAAAACAGGGAGCTATCAAATTATGAAAAGACATGGAGAAAATCTAAGAGCATATTGTTGCATATTGTATATTGTTAAGTTAAAGAAGCTTGATTCCATTTACATGACATTCTGGAAAAGGCATTCTGCAATGTTGGTGGCTCGGTTGCACCCAGCTCTTGGGTCTCCGAGGAATGCGCCCACCGCTGTGCTACCATGGCAACAGATGGTTGAACCGATAAGGTGGGCAGATTTGTGGTCATCCTATCTAACAGCCTGAGGCGCCATAAAGGGAGTGAGGGAGTGCAGACCCCTGCACCATAGGGAGTGCAGGCGTCTGGCAGTTGCTGGCTGAGGTGTGATAAGAGAAATTCCTCACTTCCCCCATACCTCCTTCTCAGTAAATTTCCACTCTTCTCCTCCTAACTCCCACCCTTACTGCCTAATGATATATAAAGGGGGTCACGGACAATAAAGGGAGAGACTCCTGGATGAAGAACCTTGGTGTCCTGTGTTTTCTTTAACCTCATCGTCCCTCGCCGGACTCGGCTCCGATTAGCCGGACGCGGCACTGCAACAATAAAAGGACTTTCCAGGGGTTGAGGGAGGGCTGAGGAGGGGAGAGATGAGAAGAGCACAGTGGATTGTTAGGCAGTGAAAATGCTCCATATGATGCAATAGTGATGAATACATGTCCTCATCCTTTTGTCCAACCCTGAGACTATACAATACCAAGTGTGAAGAGCTACCATGTCAACTTTGGGTGATGATGATGTGTCAGTGCAGGATCACCAATGGTAGCAAATGCACCCCTATGGTGGGGAGTGTTGCTACACGTGGGGAAAAGGGGGCAAGGGTGATATGTATCTTCCTTTCAGTGTTTCTGCGGAACTAAAACTATCCCCAAAACAAAGTTTCGGAAAGAAGGAAAGGAAGATGGGAGGGAGGGGAGACAAGCCACAGATTTGAAGGAAATACTTAGAAATGTTTGATGAAATGTTATATGTCTGATAAAGAATTGTGTCCAAAATATATGAAAAAGTCTCAAAACCAACCAAACCAATTGCTTAAATGGGCAAAGCGGTTTTTACTAACAGTTTGTTAAAGAAGATATACTAACAGCAAATAAACACATGAGGAGGTGTTTGATATCACTAGTCATCATAGATGTTAAATGAAAACTATAAAGAGACACCATTGCTTACTTTTCAGAGTGAGTAAGTGAAGAATGACAATTCCTAGTATCGGGACAGATGTGGGCCACTGGAACTCTCAGACTCTGCTGGTGAGAATATAAAATGATCAACAACTTGGAAAACAAGTTGGCAGTTCTTAAAAATCAATAAATAAATAAATAAACATATACTTACCAAGTGGTCAAGCCATTCAATTCCTAGTTATTTAGTCAAGGTAAATCCATGTCCTCAACACAACCTGCAGGTGAATGCCCGTAGGTGCCGTGAAGGTATTTTGCCAGGAAAAGGCTGTTGAGACATTGCTTTCTAATCCAATTTGCATTCTAACTAGATCTGAGCCATGGACACTAAGATCCCTGACCAGCACATGTTTCTCCTTTTGCCTTAGTGGAACCTTATTTTGTTGTTGTTGTTGTTAATGCCTCCCCTCACAGCTGTGTGCCACAAGAGAAACCTACCGGCCTCATGTGCCAGCTTCGTGCGCTCAGATCTTTGGTTGGTCCAAAGATAAACTCTTGAGCTTTTGTAGTGCCTAGTTCAGAAGTAGAAATGGGGCCCCGTGGAGGATAAAGGGACAACCAAGAGCAAAGGTCTGGATGGACTCTCAGCCTCCCTTCGCCCCCTGGCCAGGCTCATGCCCAGTCATGGAGACTGAAACGTCGTCACCATCTTCCTGTTGCCTGAGGTTGAAACCAACACTGGCAACACCCAGACAAGGGGAAAGATTCTGTGCAGTTTATCACATCACCGCGCTAGTGCATCAGCAGACGCTACCCCCAAAGTTACTGACTATATTGATTCCCCAAAGTTCCTATGTTGAAGCCCTAACCATCCATCTGAACTGTATTGGAGACAGAGGCTGCAGAGACAGTTAAAATTCGGTGAGGTTCCTCTGAGCTGTTGTCAACCCAGTGGGGTGCGGAGCAGGAATGCTGGCAAAAAGTTGTTTTAGGGCAGAGTGAGAAGGTGGCCTTTGCAGCCAAGGAGAGGTCCCTCACAGACCCACTG